CCTCCTCAGACAGCCATTTTGCTGTTTTGCATTTCTTTTTCTTGGGGATGGTCTTGATCCCTGTCTCCTGTACAATGTCACAAACCTCCATCCATAGTTCATCAGGCACTCTGTCTATCAGATCTAGGCCCTTAAATCTATTTATCACTTCCACTGTATAATCATAAGGGATTTAATTGAGGTCATACTTCAATGGTCTAGTGGTTTTCCCTACTTTCTTCAATTTAAGTCTGAATTTGGCAATAAGGAGTTCACAATCTCAGCCACAGTCAGCTCCCGGTCTTGTTTTTGCTGACTCTATAGAGCGTCTCCATCTTTGGCTGCAAAGAATATAATCAATCTGATTTCGGTGTTGACCATCTGGTGATGTACATGTGTAGAGTCTTCTCTTGTGTTGTTGGAAGAGGGTGTTTGCTATGACCAGTGCATTCTCTTGGCAAAAGTCTATTAGCCTTTGCCCTGCTTCATTCTGTACTCCAAGGCCAAATTTGCCTGTTTCTTCAGGTGTTTCTTGACTTCCTACTGGATTTATGGAAGACTGAACTAGACAGGGACAGAACCTGATTTTTTTTTTTTTTAATAATCCATCTGGCTGATGTGTAAAGAATGAATTGAAAGAAGTTAAGAAAAATAGAGTCTAAGTCACTCATTTATTCAACAAATATTAGAAAATTTATGAAGTAACTATTATTGTAGCAAGCACTATTCCAGAGATTGGACACAGAGTCAAAAATACTAGAGACAAGGTCCTCCACTGTGGAGTACACTTCTGAGTGGTGAACACACATACAAATTCATACATCCACAATTTCTCCCACTCTATGAATATTTTCTATCAGTACACAGTTTTACTATCTCCCATCTTTAAACAAACATCAAACAAAAATCTATCATTTGACCTTGCACTATCTGCTAGCTATCATCCTATTCTTTTATTCCCAGAAAAAATTCTTTAAAGAACTGTCTGCAGTAACTTTGCAACCAGTTATTATCTCAACCCACTACAATCAGGTTCTTCTCTTTCACCCTATTAACATTGCTCATGTCACTGAACCAAAAAGTTTTTTAATTTGTATGGAAAACAAAAGACCCTAAATAGCCAAAACAATCTTAAGAAGACTGGAGCTGGGGAATTATGCTCCCTGACTTCAGCCTATATAAAGCTAGAATAATCAAAACAGTATTGTACTGGCACAAAAAAACACACATACAGATCAATGCAAAAGGTCAGAAAGCCCAGAAGTAAACCCACACACTTAAAGTCGATCAATTACAACACAACAGAGAAGATAGTTGCTTCAGTAAGAGCTGCTAAGAATAGTGGACAATTACAGGTAAAAGAATAAAATTAGAATATTCTTTAATACAAATACAGGAAAAAAAAATTCAAAATGAATTAAAGACCTAAGTGCAAAACCCAATATTATAAAATTCCTAGAGGAAAACAAACTCTTTGACATAAATCCTAGCAACATTTTTTGTATCCCTCCCCTAGAATATTGGAAACAAAAGCAAAAATAAACAAATAGGACATAATTAAACTTAACATCTGTTGCACAGAAAAAGAAATCAACAAAACAAAAAGACAACCTACAGAATGGGAGAAAGTATTTGCAAACAGTGCAATCAACAAAGTCTTAATTTCCAAAATATACAGTTTATACAATATCAAAAATAACAACCTAATCATAAAATAGACAGAAGACCTAAACAGACATTTCTCCAAAGAAGACACACAAATGGCCAACAGGCACATAATAAGATGTTTAACGTCATTCATTATAAGAAAAGTGCAAATCAAAACTACAATGAGGTACCACCTTACATGAGTCAGAATGGCCATCATCAAAAAAATCTACAAATAAATGCTACAGAGCATGTGGAGAAAAGGGAACTCTCCTACACTGTTGGTAGCAATATAAACTGGTACAGCCACTACGAAGAACAGTATGAAGGTTTCTTAAAAACAAAATGGAATTACCACATGATCAAGCAATCCCACTCCTGAGCATATATTCAAGAAAAAAAGTCTAATTAGAAGATACATGCACCCTATGTTCACAGCAGCACTATTAACAATAGCCAAGACAAGGAAGCAACCTAAATGTCCATCAGCATATGAAATGGATAAAGAAGATGTGATATATATACACACATATATATATATATAAATGCAATATATCTCGGCCATTTAAAAGAATGAAATAATACCATTTGTAGCAACATGTATGGACCTAGAGATTATCACACTAAGTGAAATAAATCAGACACAGAAAGATAAGTATCATGATATCACTTATTATGTGGAATCTAAAAAATGATACAAATAAACTTACTTAAAAAACAGAAATAAGCTCACAGACATAGAAAAATAACGGATGGTTACCAAAAGGCAAATAGGGGAAGAGATAAACTGAGACCTGGGAATTAAAGGATACACACTACATATATAAAATAAACAAGGACCTACTGTATAGCACAGGGCAGTATATTCAGTCTCATTTATATATGTACATATATATATATATATATATATATATAAAACGTAATCATTTGGCTGTATACTCCAAACACTGTAAGCCACTTGTAAGTCAATAAAACAAATAAATAATACAAATAAAAATGAAAATAAACTGTTCATGTCAACGTCACCACACTTTCAACTTGCAGTCAAATGCTAACTTCTCTCCCCTCATTTATAACCTCTCAGAAGTGTTCACACTGTTAACTAGTTCCCCTTTCTTTTTTGTGCCACAACACTTTTCAGGTTTCCTCTCTCCTTCTTAGCTTAAATAAAGACGCCTATAGCACTGTGCTGAAGAGCATGGCGTTATAAACTTAGCTCTGAAGACTGGTTCAGGAGTGCTTGTCATGGAAGACAAACACAGGAAGAGAATGTTTCCCTTTCCTGAGCAAGATAGAAAACTATTCAGTATTTCAGGTTAGAAATGACGGTGGTTTAGACTAGAGACTAGAAATAGATTTTAGCTCTATTTTAGAAATAGAACCAATAGAACTTTGGGACAGATCAGATACAGGAATTAAAGGAATAGGGGGAAATCAAGATTTTGCAATAGAATAAAAAACTAATGAACACTACCTAAAAAATCTTAGAGATGGATTTCATTTGATACTTTTCTACTAAAACTGATACCTGGTAGAGGTTATGTGATTTACCCAAAGTCACAAAGATAACTGGTGATAGAACTGAAAATAGAACACAAGTCTCTCATAATCCTAAGAAGCTACAGATTAGGATCTGGCAAGATGAATGCTCTCAGAAGCTTTAGTCCTTTTGTTCCATAACCAATGCAGTAAAAAATACTGCAATACATTTTTGGGTTTATTGCATATAATTAGGCAAGCTATTAACTGCACACTTTATATGTTTTTAAGAAAAAATAAAGGTAGAATATAAATATCAGTATTAGCTTATGAAGTGTAAAATCTATTAAAAGTTCATCAAAAACATTTGCTGAAGTAAACTATTTGTAAAGGACAAGATACACAGGAAATCCCCCTTGAGCAGTTTACATCCTAATTTGCAAGATAACACACATATAAATAATTCAGGCCAACAGAAGAGATGTCATAAGATAGTACTAGAATAATTGTCAAACGAATTGTATAGACTATATGTGTGTGTGTGTGTGTGTGTGTGTGTATATACATATATATATATTTTTTTAAGTACTCTGTGGTAGTCCTTTAGATTTGAGCTAAGCCTTCAAGGACAAGTAAGAATTTTAAAAGTAGATGGGGAAGGGGATTACATTAAACAAACCTATAAACAGTGTCGACTAAGGTAAGGCTCAGGGCTGGGGGTTAGAGAGTGGGAAGAGTGAGCTTTTTATACATGTTCCATGGAGACTTTCTCTTTGGTATGACATTTGAGCTAAGACCTGAATGACAAAGAGAAACAAGGAATGTGATGATGGAAGTTGCGGAGAATATTCTAAGGGAACAAGTACAAGTAACCACTACATTACTTGCCTACATTAGGCTCTATAGAATGAATACACAGAGCTTAGTCGAATAGTAAAAGGGTAGACCATAAATTCCTAAATCTGAGTTTAAGTAACCCCCTAAATTCTCTTTCTCATCTCAGTGTCTGCATCAGTAAAAATTACTGCATAGAACATGTGAGATAATGAACATGAGTGGTTTAAAAACAGAAACATAAATATACCAAAATTGTAAAAGTCAGTTCAAATAGACAAGAATGGAAAAGTTTTAATATGATGCTTAGCTACATAAGGTTAAAAGTAGAGAAACTAGTTACAATCATTGCTGGTATGGGTATCAGCACTTCATACTTTATATATCTTTACATTTTCTCTTTCTGTAGTTTTTTTGTATATGTTTCATCTTCTTTGCCAGACTGTAGCACCTGACACGTTTTTAGCATTAGCTAAAATGATATGTGAAGCGAGTAATTAATTTTACAGCCCTTTGAGGATTTGTGTTTGTGTTCAAGATCCCATTTAGTTGCAAATGATTGGAGGGTGTTGATATCACGAAAAGTTAACAGAAACAAATATAAATGAAAACAGAATAGAACCCATCTTAAAGAAGACGGAAGTAAGCCGCAGGTAACTGTTCAGTACTACTGCTGGCCTTTAGTTAATACTCTCTGGCAGCCAAAGGAAGAAGGGAATTGGCTGAATCACACAGCGTGGCATTTAATCTATCTCAAAGATGGGCATTTATATTCATCTATAGATCTCAACTGTTCCGTGGCCCCAAACCCGCAAGATCTTTTGATCATAACAACTGAGCAAAGGCGCAGAGCAACTATGAAGGGCTCCCGAAACTATTTAACTTGGTTCCGTTGCTTTCAGAGCCAGGACCCATAATAACAACGGAAACACCGGCGCCTCAACAACAGAATCCTCACTTTTCTCCCCAGGGCTCCGGCCCGGGCTTGGCAACCGCAGAAACAACCCCTGGCTCCCTGGACGGCCTCGGCACGGCTCCGCGGCTCACCCCCAGCCTCGGCTTCAGGCGGGGGCCGCGCCGCTCCGGGAGTGAGGCAGGGCTCTGCGCCGGGGCGGGCACAGGCCCGGAAGGGCATCGGGGCGCTCAGGCCTCCGGGGTCGGGTGTTGGGGGAGGCAACCCGGGGCCCGGGAAACAATTCCTGAGGCGCCGCGCGACGCCCTCTGTCATGGAAGCCCCCCGCCACGGCGCACGAGGAGCGGCACGGGCGGCCGAGGCCAGAGAGCCCTCCGCTCTGCGGACGACGGGGCCGGACCTGGCCCGGGAACGAGGCAGGCCCCCCACGCTCCCCCGGCGCCCCGCCGTCACCCACCTGCACCGCGGTCTCCGAAGTCTCCAGCCCAGCCTCTCTGCTCCCGAGGCCTGGCTGCGATTGGCTCCCGCCGCTGTCGCGCTGCCTCTTCAAGTCTGAGCGCCGGCCGGTAAGCGCCGCGCCTCCGTCCCGCCCCTCGCGCCCCCGAGGCCCCGCCCCGCGCACGGTCACGCGCTGCCGCAGAGCGCCGAGGACGCAGAGCGCAGAGCCCGGCCTCGGCTTCCGCTCCCGAGGAGGCGGTGGCCGCGCGGGTGACGCGCATTGAGGGCCGCGGGTGAGCCACGTCCCGCGGACGCGCACGGCGCCCCGCCCACACACGAGACGCCCCGCCCCCGCGCGGGAGGACGCACGCGGCGCCCCCGCCCCCCCGCGCGGCGCCGGGGGAGCTGGGAGGGGCTCCGCCCGCGTCCGCGCCATCGAGCCCGGGGCGGCGGCTAGGCCCTCGGTGGATGGTTCTCCTCGCCCGGCGACTTTGCGTGCTGCCGGCGATGGAGGGCGTGCGCTGGGCCTTTCCCTGCGGCACGTGGCTGCCCAGCCGCGCCGAATGGCTGCTAGCGGTGCGATCGATCCAGCCCGAGGAGAAGGAGCGCATCGGCCAGTTCGTCTTCGCCCGGGACGCTAAGGCCGCCCTGGTACCGCGGGTCTTTCGCGCTTCGGGTCGGGGAGCAGCCGTCGGGGTGGTGGGCCGCGCAGTAGAGACCCCACACGCGAGCCTCGGCGCCCGCGTGCGGCCGCCCAGGGGCTACTGCGGGGTGTGCCCAGCCTAGTCTCCGCCGGTTTTGTCGTCGCCTCGTCCGCAGAAAAAATCGGCCCCTCCCCCGTTGCTTTTGAAAAGAAAGGTCCTGCTAAACCCTAAAATAGCTGTTGCAGAGGATTGAATCCTGTCAATAAGATTTTCCTTGTTTTTAAGTGTTAATCACATTTATTTTATTTCCTTGCTTGGGCCCATAGCACAGTCAGCCTCTTAAATATCCCACCAGTCTCCCTGTGCACCGTGCACGTGGTAGGCCCTAAAAAATATTGACAGTATCACTTAGTTTAGCCATGCACACCATAGAACTGGAAGAGTCTAGCCTCCTTTTACCGATGAAACCGAAGCCAAGGAAGGATTCGGTCTTAGGCATACCTTTTTAACTAAATATTTAGCTCTGAAAACACTATTTTGAATATAATCGTTTATTTTACGTATATATATTTAGCAACAAATGGAAGCTTGGGTTTCAAAATGATGTCTATATAGCGCAGTATGGCACAGCTTCTGAGTGCCATCTCGTCAAAGACTGTCATTATCCTGAAAGTGTCCCTCTGTCAAAGGACTTTTTCGTTCGAAATGTAGACTAATTGATTTTTGAAGGGACACTAGTGAATGTTTTCGTGAAATTCAAAGTGTTGCAGTATTTAAAAGTCAGTGTTAGAACTGAAGGAAAAAAAAAAACTTGAAAGATTTTGCAAAATGTTATCTACCTTGTTTTCTTATGTCCTCGGGTATTTTTTGTGATTTTAGACCTTAATCGGAGAGAGAGTGGAATAGGATATATGTGAAAAAGGATAGGTTATGCCTTCTTAACTGTGGAGGCAAGTAATAAGAACATATGATCTAGAAACACTTGCACATGTACACAAAGATGTAAGTACAACAGGATTGCCCACTGGGGAATTCTTTTGTATATAATAGCAAAACCAGAGACAGCCTAAAATATCCAGTAATGGGGGATAATCAAGTTGTGGTACCTTGATACTATGAAATATTATGCTACATTTAAAGATGCACAGGCCAGTGGTTATGTGCATAAACATAAGAGACATAAAATAATCCCCAACACTTAGAAATGAAAAAGTTTGTACATGGTAGAATAGTACATATAGTGGGATTTCAAATAAATGGATGGATAGCAAATGCAAATGAGCATATATTTGGATACCTAGAGAAAAGATGAAGGATGAATTCTTGTCAACATTGGTTACTTGTTGATGGGAGGGAGGGAATTGCTAAAGAGGGACTTTGACCTTTCTGTCTTCATAAGCATTTCTTAAATCCTAATGCAGGATATTTAATACTTTAGGTAGTTTAAAAACTTTAAGAAGTGAGTATTTTAGAAAGCACAAAAATAGACTTTGTATGTTATAGGCAGTTTTATTTGAATTTTTAGTATAGACAGCAGTACTTACCAAATGTTTTATTAACAGGCTGGTCGTCTGATGATAAGGAAATTAGTTGCAGAAAAATTGAATATACCTTGGAATAATATTCGTTTGCAAAGAACTGCAAAAGGAAAACCAGTTCTTGCAAAAGACTCACTGAATCCTTACCCCAATTTCAACTTTAACATCTCTCATCAAGGAGACTATGCTGTACTTGCTGCAGAACCTGAGCTACAAGTTGGAATTGATATAATGAAGACTAGTTTTCCAGGTAATATTGCATTTTTGTCATACATGAGTTATTCAATGTCTTGTCTTAGTTGTTGTACTGTGCTTAGTTGCTCGGTTGTGTCCGACTGTTTACGACCCCAGGGACTATAGCCCGCAAGGCTCCTCTGTCCATGGAATTCTCCAGGGAAGAAGACTGGAGTGGGTTCCCATCCCCTCCTCCAGGGGATCTTCCCAACCCAGGATTAAACCCAAGTTTCCTGCATTGCAGGCAGATATTTTACCTTCTGAGCCACCAGGGGAGACCCAGGTTCTATCCCTTTGTCAGGAAGATCAAACTGGTGGGCTTCCCCGGTGGCTCAGGCAGTAAAGAATCCACCTGCAATGCAGGAGACTCAGGTGCAAGACTCAGGGGTCAAGAAGAGCCCCTGGAGAAATGGTTACCCACTTAAGGGTTCTTGTCTGGAAAATTCTGTGGATAGAGGAGCCTGGTGGGCTACAGCCCATGGGGTCGCAAAGAGTCAAACATGAGTGAGTGACTAACACTAATTAACTTGTTTAAAAGATAATAATCTCAATAGTGAGGTGTATTATAATCCCTAAGCAGAGATAACATGTATTTGTATTATATCTAAATATAGTTCTTTGTAGCACATTTATGGAAAACGAAAAGAAAGAGCAAAGAGTTACTAAAATATTTATATTTTGCCTTAGAAATTTGCAGCTGATGACTGTTGGAACTGCTGACATTTATTGTGTGGTTGACTATAAAGTAATTTTAATAGAACATAGGGTCTCTCAAGTCCTCTGTAATTTTCATCACTAACATTAGTGAGCACTTACTGTGTGCCAAGACATTTTACTCGGTGCTTTATGTATATTATATGTTGAGTGGAACTTTTCAGAAGATAAGTAACAGGATAAGAAGAAAGCTGTTAAAATAAAAGAACCAACATCTTCCTAATTTCATTGTGCAATTTCTTAATCTCCACACTGCATCCACCACAGGTTCTTTGCTTGTGTTTCCCTTGGACTGGAATATTTGTGATAATGTTGTGCCCACCTGCATTTCTGCACAGATAAGTTATTTCTTGGTTAGCTTCCAGTTCAGTCTTATTTTAGGATAGCCTTTGTGCACCTTCAAACTAAGCCAGGTCACTTTGTTCTAAGGCTCTCATAAAATATATTTCCTTCATTCCAATAATATACTTCAATTTAGTTATATCAGGATGATTGTCTTCCGACTGTACTATCACATCTAGCACCTTACTTAGTTCGAAGTAATGCATAATAAATATTTGTTAAATAAATGAATAAGCATTCTGTGCTACAATAGTAAGACTTCAGAATATGGCTGTGACTCTCATCTCTCCCTTATGTTGAATTTTCCCACCAGCCAGTTTTTCTTTAACCTGTTCATAAATCTATTAAAACTCTATTCTTTGTTCAGAAGGGAGTTGTACTAATTATAACAGGGGTTCTTGACCCCAAATAAGCATCATTTTTTTTAAACTCCTGAAATTGTTCTCTACATTTTGTATGCACAGGTAGGCCTTTCTCAAAGAGAGAATCTGGTTTTCTCCAGGGTCATAGAAGGTGTAATGTGAAAGGACCACTGCTCTAGAGGATTCAGAGTGAGCATGCAAATGAGCCTGTAAACTTCACAGTTTTCTGTGTTTCTTTTATGAATTTTCCCTTAAAATCAGAAATGACTGGAGAGGCCATTGATCCTTAGAATGCAGTCAGCACAATTACATAGTAATGGTTGGCTCATCAGTTGATATCTGCTTGGAAATTATGCCTGTAAGACACAGATCTAATTACAGTTGGTTTAGTGGGCAATGTTGGGTTATGGTCAATACTGGATAAACAAGTAATTACTAAAGCAAAAATATGAAGGCTCTGTTTTCTGTTAATTATATTTTATTAGCCTTTTTTATCCACCATCTTTTTTCTTTGCTCTAATTTACCTAATCACAGTATCCAGGCCTTTTACTATTTAGCTGTTTCATTGCAAAAAAACTGTTGACATATCCAGTAATGCACTGAGGAAGAGATATTTTCCAGTTTTAATTAGTATTACTCTGTCACTAATGTTGAAAAGATTAATGGATGCAGCATTATTTTTCAGGAAGTAGACACTGGTTACTTCACTGGCAGTTCATTGAATTACTCTGCTTATCAGAGTGAGGAAACTGAGCAGGAGATGTTCCTAAGATTTGCTAAATGATGGAGGGTAAAACTTAGTATAGCAGCAAGGGAAGTATTGTACTTTGTTCTGAATGTTGTTATTAAGATTATCTAACTTCATCTCAAGATGAAGTTAAGACTTTGGGGACATCATCAGTATATTGAAAGACTTAGTTCCATTACTCCTATTTTGTCTGCAGGGCATGGTAACCCACTCCAGTATTGCCTGAAGAGTCACATGGACAGAGGAGCCTGGTCGGTTACAATCCATAGGGTTGCAAAGAGTTTGGACACAGTTGAAGTGACTTAACATGCAAACATCACGTAGGAACTTGTGGAGTCTTTCTTTGTCACATTAGACATTCCTACTAGGTGCAGATCATTTCCCACCTTCTCCCAGTTCTCTGTTGTTGTGACAGGGTAGGAGAGAATATCTCATGGATTTTGGGGGCTTTTTCCTTCTAGCCAGATGCCCACAGTTAAGGACATTTGGAGCTACCACTGTTTCCTCTGCCTGATGGAGAGAAGAACCTTATACAAAAGTAACTGGTGTATAGTTGTCATTCAGTAATTGTTTGTTTAATGAATGTCCAGAGAAGGAGTTATTAATATAAGATATTGGGGCCCCAGTATAGATAAATTGCCAGTGCAATATAATCCTAACCCTGGGGGCGGGTGTTTTATAGGTCATCATTATAATCTGCTGCACCCAGTTGGGAAATATTGGTTGTTTTTCCTTCCTTTTCTAATAATTTTTGTCTACCACTAAAAGCTTTTGCAGTTAGAAGTATAAGGATAGTTTGTGAATTGTTCAGTTTTGTACCCATACTTACAAGATATGGCAGGTTAAGATGAAATTGAAAAACCACTACACTATGGTAAAATAATTAGCTTCCAATTAAAATAAATTAATCAATTTTAAAAAAAAGATGAAAGTTGCTCAGTTGTGTCCAACTCTTTACAATACGACGGACTGTAGTCCATGGACTTCTCAGGCCAGAATACTGGGATGGGTAGCCTTTCCCTTCTTTAGGGGATCTTCCCAACCCAGGGATCAAACCCAGGTCTCCTGCATTGCATGCGGATTCTTTAGCAACTGAGCCACAAGGGAAGCCCAAGAATACTGGAGTGGGCAGCCTATTCCTTGTCCAGCGGATCTTCCCAACCCAGGGATCAAACTGGGCTCTTCTGCATTGCAGGCGGATTCTTTACCAACTGAACTATGAGGGAAGCCCAAGATAAGATAGATACAGTGTAAAAATTATTAGAATTTGGAGAAAGACCCAAAATACTTTTTCCCATGAGTTTATACTTTCTAGTTCACGTTTTTGTTATAAACTTCTCCAGATATTAATTGGCAGGACAAAATGACTCAGTATTTTGAGATTTAATGCTAATTTAATAGCTTTGAAATGAGTGCATCATAGAACTGCTCCTCTTGAGCAGTTGCTACCTAAATTAAGAACAGTGAGTGTAAAGTTAAGTGATGGCATTATATGCTAGCTTTGGTAGAGTCTGTTGTCTCCTTCCCCATACTAACTGGTAGCACTATTGTAGTAGCTTCGTAATTAGGGCCCCCTCTGCTCTGTTCTCACTCAGTACATTGTCTGTACAGAGTTAGGGAGTGGTCTTTAAAAATCTCATTAAAGCAGTTGTCTTAAAACTTTTTAGTTGGTTCTTAATAAAATTCATTCCTTTTAACATGACTGTGTCATCTTATTGTCACTTCTCCTTTATCTCTCCTTTTGCATTTTTATCTGTTCTCTGCTCACTGTTCTCCACACTCATCTCTTATTACCTTGAATGTAGCAAATTTTTTCCAGTTCAGGGTCATTTAAAAAATGCTGATCCCTCTGCCTGTTTTTCTCACTCTTCTTGAGTACTGGAGATCTGAAGACTGAGAAGTAACCAGTTCCAGTACCTCCTCAGATAGGGCTTTCCTGACAACCTGCTCTTATTTTCTGTCATGGCCTTTCTCATTTCTAACTATAACTTAGTTATTTGATTATTATCCTTCATTTCTGTTCCCTTCATTAAATAAGTTCAGGAGCCATGCAGACCTAGTACTTACCGTGTCTAGCACATTGAAGGTGCTTAGTAAATATTCATTGAATGTACAAACAATAGAAATTCTCAATTTCACTTAAAATATTCCTTATATTTGTTGAAAAGTTGGTTCGCAGCTACAATAAACAGTTATGTTCATATCAGATTCTAGTTTGAGTATAAACTGTTCTCATTAGTGAGTCGTGGTTACACACAGTTCTTCCTTCAAGTCGTCTTCCTCATCCTCCCAATTATCTGCCTAGCTGCTTCTCTCCTGCATTTGCATCCCCATCAGATTCAGTTTCCAACTTTGTTACTGTTGCAATCTACAGTCTCCAACTTAAAATTTTTCAACTTTATGATGGTTTAAAAGCAACTCAGTAGAAGCCATACTTTTAATTTTGACATTTTCTCAGGCTAGCCATGTGTCGTAATTCTGCGCAGCAGCAGTGAGCCATAGGTCCCAGTCAGCTACGTAGTCACAGGGTAAACACCCAGTATAACCATTTTTTTTTCGCTTTCAGTGCCGTATTCAGTGCATTTCATGAGGTATTCAATGCTCTGTTATAGGCTTTTTGTTAGATGATTTTGCCCATTTGTAGGCTAATATAAGTGTTCTGAACACGTTTAAAGTAGGCGACACTAAGCTGTGACATTTCATAGCTTAGGAGTATTAAATTCATTTTCAATCCTAAAATATTTTCAGCTTAACAGTAGATTTATCAGGACATGACTTCATCATAAATCAAAGAACTGCATTCCACTGTCATTTCTGATCTACATTTTTAAGCTGATCTACATTCTTCT